TATGATCATGAGCATATCCAAAACCAAAGATTTCTCTCTTTTTTTTATTTTTCCATGCTGTTGAATTTTCTAGATGTTAAAGTGTGCATCTTTCGGACTGGAAAAACAAATAACTATGATAAGGATTTTACTGGCATGCTACAAAGCCGAATTGAGAATCTGACAGAAGTTCCAACAGTGGGCAAGAGTGACATTATTCTGGTTTTCTGTCCTGCTGTTTCCCGAGCTGGAACTGACATTGACAAAGCACTTGAAATATTCAATCACAATACAGGTTGTTTGAGTTTGTCACTTTTAAGTAATAAATATTTTTATTATTCAGAATATTCAGGAGTACCTGATATTTGGTGAGGACATTAGACAAATTTGTTTTGTCTAAATTTCCTGAACAGAAGCTAAGTTGGGTGTTCTAGTGGTGCTTCATCACACGTTTGACCCAGAGAAAGTGATTCCAGACAGCAGCAGATCTGTCAAGAGGACAGATATACTCACAGTGGACTGTCTGTTCTATGAGGATGCAGGATTTCTTAAGTGTCAGAAGAATTCAGATGCAGCTGACAAAGTTGTGAACTGGTTAATACAAGAGGTATTTAAGAAGATGCTCTAAAATATTTCATTTGAAAAACACTTCACTGTTTACTCATAAGCTCATGTTGTAATCATTCTCTACAGGAGAGGCAAATAGGTGTCAAAATACGTCCTCGTAAAAGTAGGTTATAATCACTTTTTGTCATTAAATATAACCTCAGAAAATATAAAATTTAAGTAACATTATATTTAACGTAATTATACGTTGATATTGTTTTATCTTAATTTCTACAGATTTAACAACAAAAGTTAACTTTACAAACTCAGGACAAATCCAATATCCAGAACGTGAAAGATGTAAGAAAGAAAGAAATAAGGTAAATGTTATGTTGTTGTGCTTAAGATGCTGTTTAAAATGCCAAACAGTGTTTGTCCAGATACTGTGACTGAATTTCACTGTAAGTTGTGTGTCTGTAAAAATGTTTATTACTTCCATTCAATTTAAAGATGACCAAAATGGGAAACAACAAACCTAGTACAAGTAAGTCTGCATCTTATGAGGGATCTCACACAATTACTGCTTGTTTAGTCCCACATATAATTTTTTTGTACTTTTGTCAAGTGTTATTATAGAACAGAATAGCTCATCTTCCTGGACACCATCCTAGAAAAATAAATGCATTTTTTAAAAACTGTATTATTATATTTGCATTCATTTTGGTCAGATCATATTGTACGTTCCTCTGTTTTTGTTTTTCAATCCCAATTCATGTTCCAGAAAAGGTCAAAGTGTTCTCCATTTTGGCTGGAAAGATAAAAAACTGTCAGAAGGAATTTTTCGACATTTTGAGAAACCGAATTGAGAATCTGAAGGAAGGTCGTACAGTGGACGAGAGTGACATTATTCTAGTTTTCTGTCCTATTGTTTCTCGAGCTGGAACTGATATTGAAGCAGCACTGAACAATGTTGTTTACTCTACAGGTTGTTTGATTATCATTGTCACACTATTTTAAATAAAGTTATTAATTCTCAGAATACTCTGCCTCAAAGTGATACGTATATAAGCATTTCAGATTAAATTATCTTTAATTTGTCTATGTCCTTAAACAGATTCTAAGCTAACTGTTCTAGT